ACGACATGGCCAAGTCAGTTTTCGTAAGGGCTTGCCTTTGCTCGCTTGGCAGGCGGTATAGCCCAAAAAGCATATCTGCCAACAGGTGGCTCCTGCACACGCAATGGCCGATCAGAAAGAATAGCGTGAGCTGTTTCGTCCTGTTCATGATGATGATCGTCGTTCTGCTGGTTTCCTCGCGGATGAAGTTGTAGTCCGACTCGTAGAGCACTGCCTCCGAAACCACCGCCGTGACGGCGATGAATCCGAACAGCACCGAAAGGTAGACTAAGGGTCTGCGTTTAGTCAGCCTCGGAGGCGCAAAGGACCAGGTGTAAGGGAACCCCCCGTACACGCGCAGGACACCCAGCAGCGCCATTAGGAGTGCTAGGAGCCTCATCTCAGGAAATATAATATGATGGCTTTGTATGCGAAGAAAGGCTTGTAGCGAATTGGTCACACGCGCCCTACACGTCCTCCAGCAAGAGCTGGCTGAAGATAAGATAGGATTATTTTTTGTCGTTTCTATAACAACCATTCCTGGTACACAATATCAATCATGTAAGGTAAACATTGTTGATTAAGTTATACAGACATGTAGAAAAATCTGATTAAACTAAATTTGTCTATGTAAATGTGTCACACACTTCATTTTTGTAACGAAACTGATTTTGAAGTTTCAGCGTAAATGATAGCCACAATATTAGTTTCAATTATATTTTACTTGCAATGAAGACATTGCAAGCAGTATTATAGTTCCAAATGATTTCATTATTATCATTAACAATTCCAACATAGTAAATGTCATGACTAGCAGTATTATCAAAAGCACTACTATCACTGTTAGTTATCATGAGAATTATCATTATTATCATTATTGTTATTATCATTTTCATTATTATTATTATTTTCATTATTATTATTGTTATCATTTTCATTATCATTATTGATGTTATTCCTGTAGTAGTCATTATGATTATCATCATTTTTGTTATTATCATTATTATTATCAGTATCATAATTATCAGTATTATCATCATTTTAATCATTATTATCATTTTAATCATTATTAGCATTATTGTTATCATTATTATTATTATTATTGTTAAAATTATTATCATTATTGTTAATATTATCATTATCTTTGGAATAATAATAATCATTATCATGATTATTATCATCATTAGTATCATTACTGTTGTTGTTATTAGTAGTATTACTATGATCATGGTTATTATTATTATTATTATTATCATCATCATTATTACTTGTTTTATTATTATTATTTCAGCTTATGCTATGGCTGTTGGAATTTCCGTCTTTACTCCTGTTAGGCGGGTCATAAAAAATGACCAAGGGCTAACAGGAAATCTCTCTCTGACATCCCTAACACCTTCCTCAGGATCCTTGCAGTTCCTAACAAGGCAGTCGTTTGTACAGCTCTGTCATCGCCCGGTACCCCCAATTTTTCAATCTTGTCAAATTCTTTTGTCACACTTCTAAGGGCACCCACAACCTCAGGAACAACATGCACCTTCCTCAGTTGCCACACTCTTCCAATTTCCTTTTGCAAGTCCTGGTATTTTTCCACCTTTTCTCTTTCCTTTTCATGTACTCTTCCATCGCCGGGCACTACAATATGCACGATTATACCACTTTTTTCCTTATTATTTAGTAATAACAATGTCTGGTCTTCTTGCTTCTAACACACTGTCACATTGTAAATTTATATCCCACTGCAGTTTTACATGATTCTCTGACGCTCCTACCAGGTCATGTTAATACCATCTTTCCTTATGTTCTTATGCATTTTTCTTACACAGTTCCTAATGAATTTTCTTTGCTACATTATCATGACGTCTCGTATTTTTTCTAAGCCAATTTCTCATATTCATTGATTATGTGTTGCACAGTTTCTCCTCTCTTTCCACACATTCTACAAAGGGCATTATCAATATTCTTATCAATGTGGTGTTTTACACTCACGGATGGTACTTTCTGACTCAATTGTTACTGATGTACGAACCCTCTGAATTAGTTTTTTCCGTAGAATTCATTACGTACAAACCTAAGCTGTTTTCCTCTCCTTTGACACAGTGTTCTATGCTGATCAAACATCTACCTCCTTCATGCCTCAAGTACAGTCTGTCCACATCACTCTTAGGATGAAACGCACCATACATTGGCATCGTCTTTCCTGTCGTTCTGCCTAAGCTTTTCAGTTCACATCCTTTCCAGACCAGGATTCCAGCCCCATATCTGAAGATAGCTACTGCCTATGTGTTCATCGATGTAATTTTGTTTCTGCCATTCAACTTTGATTTAAGAATCAACCTGAGCCTTCTCTTGTATTCCATTATAATTTTCTCTTTCATTTCATCTTATCCAGTTCGACTATCCCTAGATATATGTAACTTTCCGTTCCACCTCCTTCATTACCTCGCCATCCGGAAGTTCTATCCCCTTACATCTAGCTATTTTTCCACACTTTCTAAGACCAAACTCCATCCCAGTCTCTGTACTGAAGATGTGACCCTATCTGGTCTTCATTCTTACCAAACAGCTTTAGATCATCCATGAACAGATTATTTCATTTGTATTGTTTGTTTTCCCATTCATAGCATGCACTGGCCTTACTAAGCATTAACGACATTGGAATCATACTCAGTACAAACAGTAGTGGGGATAAACTATCACCTTGAAATATTACCCTCTTCACATCATCACCAAGGTCTTCTCCATTAGATGTTAATGAAGCTTCCACTGCCCCATACTTCTTTGCAGAAGTTTCCACATTCTCTGCAATTCCAAACATTTCAATACACTCACTAATCCAAATATAGGGGACAAAGTCATAAGCTTTCTTATAATACATCCATGCCATAGCCAGATCAGTGTGTCTTTTCCTACAGTCTCTCATCAATAGTCTTGTCAGTTAACAATTGATCTTTTGTACCACGACTCTCACGCCTACATCCTTTTTGGTCTTCTGGCAGAAGATTCTCTCTTTCTAAATAGGTGTACATCACTTCTGTTACCATTCCTCTAAAGAGCTTTCACATCAAAGGGAGGCACGTGATCGGATGATCATTTCCCACAGCATCACTTTTCGCAGGATCCTTTTGGCTCAGTACTGTACGACCATCTGTCATCCATTTAGGTAAATTAGCTTCACCCTCCAGTATCTTCCTAGTTGGCAAGCAATTCTCATATGAAGGTTATTGAGGTTTTTAATCCAATATCCTTGAACACCATGCTTCCCTGGTGCTTTCCAATTCGGGATCCTTCGACACTGTTTCTTTACATTTTCAACGCTAATACTCACCATTTCCTGAAGGTGTTCGCCGTTACCCTCATTCTTCAGATCCCGTAACCATCCAGCCTCTATTATGTTCCTTTTCGACGCTCCACATATCATCCCAGAACCTCCTACTCTCTTTAGCATCTGGCGCATCACTTGCACCATTTCTACATCCATTTCTTTGTATATCTTTTGATCAACATTAAACATCCTGTTTTGTCTGAATTGTGATTCTCTGCTCATATCTTTTAATTTTTGCGCTTTTTGCTATCATCCTCTGCTTTAGTTCTTCGATCACAGTTCTCGGCCCTTTTCTTTAAACTATATTTTGTTTCCAGATCTTTCAGTTTCCTTTTCTTCTTTGCCCCAAATTCACCTTTCTTTTCTCTTTCCAGCATTTTGACCTCCTGTTTCAGTCTTTTAATATCCTCCTCGATTCTACGTTTCCATTTAGGTTCATCTTTCTTCCTATACGTGATTTTCTTCAACCTAGCTGTGTGATGGTGCTAGTTTTCATAACCTTGATTGCTCCATTTTCTTTAGTTTTACATTTTAGTCTTTTTTTAATTACCCCTTCAGTTCCTTCTGTCATTATTTCTTTCAGTTTCTTAACAATCTCTGTTCTTAGTCAAACTCAACATCGCTTGTTTCAACTTCACTTACATCACGTCTTATTACATCAGCATCCTCTGCTTGATTATCATCATCCTCCTGGTCGTTTCTGACCTCAATTACCTCATTCACAGTTTCAGTCTGAGCCTCGTCCTCCAGACTACCATCCTCGTTCTGTACTTCATCCATTTCCCTTTTAATTATTTACAACTCAAGTTCTGATAGCCACCCGTTCTTTCTAATGACCCTCGCCTGGTCACAAATTCGCTGGTCCGTTGGGTTAAACATACCCCTTAATCTCCATTCTCTAAACATTCTTTGTCTATAGCCTCTGATGGCCCTCTCGTCAAACGGCTGACTTCTATAAAAGCACTCCATCACTAGCTTTACTGTTCACTTCTTAATTCCATCTCATTCTGGAAGTAGCGGGATAACGACCGGCCCGCACTGCTCACCCGAGGAACACCTGCCGGACGAAGAGCCTTCACTTGAAGTTCCAGCTCCATTTACGTCGTTATTGGATATACTATGACTTGGCATTTAGCACTCCTATAGAGGTTTAGTAAATTTAAGGTTGCACCATCTCTAGGGAGGTTGCCAACCAGGCTAAAGAGTCCTCTGGTACATAAAATCTGCATGAACATTGCCAAGCTTAACGTCCCCATAAGTAAGATACCAAAAGGTCGACCCATTTCCCCATGGAAAAATTCATCACTGAATGTGCATTTTACATGTATACCGCAAAAAAAAAAAAAAAAAAAAAAAAACTGTACCTAACTGCGTGTCGAAACAAATTGCTTTGGCGATGGTAAAGGAACACTTAGAATGTATGGACGATGTGTACGAGTGTTACGCTGACGGATCCGTACAGTCTGGATACAAAGCTGGTTGTGCGTGCGCTGTATACAATAATGGTTTATTGCAACATCAAGTTCATATGAGAGTACAAAATTGGGACAGCACTACTCAAACGGAGTTGGCAAGTATACTCCTTGCACCAGAATACTTAATGTCTCGGGGCTCTGGAGTAGTTTTTTGTGATTCTCAAAGCGCTCTTCGGACACTAAGTTCCTTCAAATCAGATGGTGATGAGGAAATTGTGAACTGCATTAAGCGTAACGTAACATGCAAGAGAGCGCAATTTTAACAGTCAATTTGTATGGATACCATCTCATGTTGGTATACGCAAGCACGACCATGTAGACAAATTGGCGAAAGAGGCTTGTAACAGAGATTTTGTAAATATAGATCTTGGGATGCCTCTTGCTAGGGTTGCACATATATTAAAAAGTTCTCATAATGAAAAACTGATAGATCTGACGAGTTCACAAAGGCCTGAAAGCTGTAGTATAAGGCACTACGATCAGTATAGAGATTGTAAACCCTCCTATGGGGGCCCCGAAGTAAAACCAGACAATGTGACGTGGTTATTGCCAGAATACGTTTAAGTTATAGAATGTACTGGCAAATGCAAGGTGCGAGAAGTGCAGATGAATCTAGATGTAAACTGTACGAGGAAAATAAGCGAACGCTTGAGCATTATATCTTGGTGTCATGTGATACAGCCTTTCAGATCACTTAACATGAGGTATAAAGAACTATGTGATTATTTTATAGCATCTGATACATTGGAAGATATACTCATGCTATATTCTAATTTTACTATGTAAAACTATAATCATAGAACACACCACAGAACACTGTTAAGTAAACACAAAGGCAAAGGTAGATCAACTTAGGTAATATACGTTTGCATGCTGTATGACATTCCCATTTTACCATGTATAATTACTGTAATCACAGAATACTGTACTCTGTCGAATGTATGTGAATATATGTAACACTCTGTAATCACGATTTCGAATGTATGTNCACTCATATATATTAATATATATATATAATATATATATAATATAATATATATATATATATATTATATATTACGTGTGTGTGTGTGTGTGTGTAGACATATGCACACACACACACAACTCACAGTATATATATATATATATATATAATATATATATATATATAATATATATATATATATATGTATATATATACACATATGTATATATATATATATACATATCTATTAATATATATTGATATAAAGTATATAAAGTTTTTATTTGCAACCATCTTCAATAATTCTTATTTCTTTTGTGTGGACAACAATGAAGTAATAGTGTCAACCCATATTTCTACTGTGTCAAAACATATCACTCATAAGAAAGTCCACCAATAAGGAGAACTGCACACAAACACAAGTACGTATATGTTAAAGTTATCGAACTCTGAATGAAATAAAACAATGTTAATGCTAAGGATGTTGTATTTGGTTCATATCAGTGTTGATCCCAATTTGATTTGACCTAAAGTATAGAAACGTGTACTTCATGCACACAGTCTGGGATGGATTCTTTGCTTCTGCTGGATTACTTGCCAATAAGTACCTGCTTAGTTCCTCCTCTCTGAATATACTTATGTTTAGTTGTCCCAAAGATGCTTCCCTTTTGCTCGATAATCTGGTGCTGGTAACCTTTCCCTGTGGCAATCTGCTTGACTTCTTGTACACTGGGGCCGAACAGAGAGAAGCCCTGACGCACAATCTGCTTGTTGTTGTCTGCCTTGCCAAACTGCGTAACCGTCTGATGATTACCAAGGAAGGTATTGTGGGAATTGACAATCTGCTCTCCGGTGCTCCCTTCTCCACCGATCTGTGTTATGTCTTGGTTGCTGGACTAGAGAAGAGATAAGAACGGTGAGAGAAATGGCATTCAAATGCATAATTTATGAATGTACATGTATTGAAAACTAGGTGTGCATGTGTGTTCGTTATAAACAGGTGGTATTCTGTACAGAAATTCATACTTTAGTATTCATTGTTAATATCCCAATTATAATTCAAGAGGAATGACGTCGTCAACTCACCCAAGAAAATTGACGTTTTGCTCGGTGCAGTTCCTCTTCAGAGCCTGGAAAATGGTATTTTTTGTTCTTCATGAAGCTTTATATATACATACACACATATACATGAATATACATTATACACACACACACACACATATCTATACACATACATATAATCACACTATAAAACTATAACACAACTGCATATACAATTTAAGATGGAAGATGAAAGGGACGTTAATATAAGTGAAACAGGCCAACTCTCGCTACAACGATCGCACAAATTTCATCGGGAATCACACACCTCCCTCTGCCTGCAGCTGGAGTTGATTACCCAGTGAAGCTGCCTCGGCACAGATGGCGAAAGCAGCGACCACCGCCAGGAACATCACACGCGTCATGTCTGCGTTGCTTCAGCTGTGGGAAAAGGGAGGCGTTTACTTCGGGACACAGATGTGCTTCCTGTGCATTCCTAAAACCAAATAAATCGACAAAAATATACATCTGGTTTACACGCATTTATCTCTAAAATCATGCAAACACACAGACACACAGACACACACACACACACACACACACACACACACACACACACACACACAACACACACATATATATATATATATATATATATATATATATATATATATATATATATATATGTGTGTGTGTGTGTGTGTGTGTGTGTGTGTGTG